TCGTTTAACCCACCCGAAAGTTTGGTTAGGGACAAGTAGATATTGTAAAAAATCGGGCACTTAAATTGGAATAATTATTCATCTATTTAAAAAATTAATGTAAAACCTTTTGGAACTGATTCATCTTATCAAGCTTTAATATTTCCAAGAAAAATATAGTAAAAAGTTATTGAAATTATCGAAATATATGCGAGGGACATGAAAGTTAAAGGTTCCATATATGGGGCAAAATTTCTCAAGTGTACCAATGTCAAAATTGCAAGTTGTTGGATCGGGCTAATATTTTCCCAGTATTTAGTACTATGTATGAGTACTTCAACCACCAAGTATTATGAAATTTTATAAAAAATTGTAGAGGGGGGTGGGGGTTGAAGATTTTGGATAAGTATAGACAGTGAGTTTTCTAAAAAATCGTAGCTTCTATATAATGAAGTAAAAAAAATTTTGACCTATATGTTTTTTGTAGGGTTTTTCCTGCTCTTTCAAATGGTGCAAATTTTTTTTTTTAATTCAAAATTTAACCCTTTTTTTTGAAAATTAAAAATTTTTTTGATTTTTTTTTCAAAAAGGACCTTTTTTTTTTCTTTTTTTTTGTACGAAAAGAAAGCTTAAGATGTGTACTTTCAATAACTAAAACGAAAAAAATGACGTTTTTTTTTTGTTTTCGAATTATTAATTAATTAATTAATAAAAATTAATAAAAATTGAAATATTTTACAACAAAATAAATTTAACGCAATTCTGAAGTTACTACTGTAAAGCACTACAAAATCCGCATCCAACGAGTCCAATATGAATTATTTTGGATAAATTGACGTTTTTTAAATAAATATTTATAAAAATTAATTAACAAATGAATATAATTTATAAAAATAAAGATAAAGTGTTCGTTTTTTTTTAAACAAATGTTTATACAATTCTATTTTGAAAAAAATTTATTTATTAACATTTTCTACAAAACAATTTTTTATTTAATTTTATATTTGAGCATACTCTATAATATTATAATATTTTCAGAACTGCTCTCTGCATTTTTCAGGGTTGAGACTGTCATTGTATTGATTCAATGCCTGCATTACAGTCGTGTAATGTGTGTATGTATGTATAATGTATTGTTCAAAATGTTTAAAAAATATTATTAGTTGTTTTAGTGTGTTATGTTGAGTATGTTTTGTTTTAGTATGATGTGCTTTAATTCAGTTGAAATTAATTCAAAGTAGTCTAAATTAATTATCCTTTTATTTTTTTTGTTAGTTTTTCTTTTTTTTTCATTTTTGTTAATTTTTGCTGTTTCTTTTTTAGCGGTTCTCTTCCCCTGAGTGCTTTTTACTGTTTTTGGATAGTAATTACTTTCCTTGGCACATGAAAATTTTTTAAGCTGCATTTGATTATTTTTTTGAGGAATGAATGCGTGATATTGTGAAGTGCCAGGTATTGTCACTGCACTGTCAAATCGTTTTTTTAACGTCTCCATGGTTAAAGGATGTGTTTCTTTACTTTTAAAAAATATTGCTGTTTCCTTGCAGCTCATTTTAGCCCAATTAAATAATGATTCTGCATTAAGAATATGATGCTGTGAAGAGGCTTGAAGACTGGCACGAGCAGCTCCTCTTTTTATATTGGCTCCAATGCCATCACAAGCACCTTTACCATGGGCAGTACAATGGAAATGCCATTCTGCAGGTACACCAAAGTCTTTTTCATGGCATTGCAGATTAGCAAAGGAGTTTTTATTTTTAAAATGCTGTTTTGCACCATCTGAAACGTAATAAACTTTTTTGACCTCGATCTTGTCCTTTAAATAATCCATTATTATACTTTGATACTCATAGACGCTGGCTGTATCATGTGCCAAATTGTCTGAAATTATTGCCATGCTCTTATGCATACAATTATTTTCAACTTTGTAATAAATTACAATAGTAAAAATTGTAGCATGGTCGTTGTTCCAGTGAAATGCTTGTGCTGCATTTTGAACAACAAAAGCATAATTTTCCGCAAAATCAAATGAAACAATAATCTCGCCTGGCAATAATTTTTCTTTGAGGTTTCTAAAGTAAGATGATTGCTCTTTGTCAATGAAATCATGGGTTTTTAATTTCTTCAACCGATCACATAGATCTTCTACAAAATCATCGACATTCATGACTACAGTTTTCAAAGTAAATCTATCTGTCTGCAACCAAAGTTCACATCTAATTTCTTCAATAGAAGATTTATCGAAAGCATCGATTAAAACCTCTTTTAAAATATCAGTGCCGGGACATTCTTTACAATCGCCTAAATAACACGAACTGCTAGGATTCGGACATATTATAAATTTAATACAATCCTGATAGTCTTTCAGAGGCACATTATTGTCTTGAGTTAAATGATTAATGTTAATTTCATTTAACATTAGTTTAACATTTTCATGGTGAGTGCAGACGCATACCGTATGTGTACCACTACTCCCAGCTAATACGCAATGGGCTGGTCTAAGTTTTCCAAATTTTGAAAGGCTAATTTAAATTGTGTATGCAATTCATTTAAATTGCATAACAATAATCTTTTCTGGACATGTTCGCGTTTACCTTCAGAATTTTTTACAGACACGAAGTCCTTCATCCCAGGCATTATACGACTAATATCGTCACGATTATAAAAAGTTTCAACAAGAGTTACATTTTCAGAAGAGAATTCTTGACCTTTTTTTGGTTTCGGAAAAGATAGAATTCCATTTTCAGCTACTAGACTTTTAATATTTCTTGCTTGTCTATCGGAGATATTAAATTCGGTGCTTATTTTATTTCGACTCCAAGATTTGGGCACAAGCGTAAGAAGCTGAATTTTTTCAATTTTATTGTCAGTAGAATGGAATTTCTCTTTTATCTGATCAAAAACTTCAACACACGATTTATGGTATTCGTTATCACACTCAGGACTTTTTATTTCATCAAAATCTCTATCATGAACCAAATCATCGACTTCTTCGAAATTATCATCATTAAATATACTGCATTCATCATCTACTTGTTCTACATCACTTGAATCTATTTCCTTGTCCTTAGTGGAGGTTTCTTCAAATTTACTTGGGTCATTTGAATCTTTTTGCAATTGAATGCTACATTCTGTGCAAATCTTTGCGTTTGGTGGAAAAGAGTATTTACTTTGAAACTTTTTAGAAACAGAACGTAATAATCTGTTTTTATGATTTCTTTTTCGAAATGGATTAATGCATCTGTCTTTCCAGACACGTGAAAGCATTTTTGAATCCATACTCAATTAAAAGTTAAATTTACTTTTTAAAGTAAAAATTTTTTAATTTAAATTTAATTAATTAATAATTAAAATTAATTAATTAAATTAATTAATTTAATTTTAAATTTACTTTTTTAAGTGAAGAAATGAAAAACAACTCCACAGAAAAAAAACCAAAAAAAATAATACAACAAAAAATCAAAATATAAGAAATCAAATAATGAGTACAAACCTGCGGTCAAAATATTCTAGAAGAATAAAAAAAAGCATATCTGGCTAATCTCCTTATATACATTTGAATGCTTAAGTCGCTTGTGAGATTAGCAAGTGTAGCCCACCTTGTGCCAGTTCATAGTACTAAATTCAAAGCGCGCCAAAATTCAAACCTATATAAATTTCAGCTTAATAAATAAATATAATAAAAATTTAATTAAGTTCTGAAAATGAATATAAAATTAAATCATGAAAATTATTATAAAAATCCAATATAATAATTAATAATTAAGTAATTTTTTTATAATTTATTTATTAGGATTTACGTAAAATTAAATTATTATTGATATTAAAATAATAAAAAGTTGGTAAGATAAAAAATAAATCATCTCTTATTACATCAAAAATGTAAAAATTAAATAAAAAATTGTTTTGCAGAAAATGTTAATAAATATTAAGCCCGGTTATAGAGTTATGGAACACGACACGCATAAAGATGTTGAATGTTTTTTTTTAAACTGTCAATTGTTGCAAATAACTGGAATAAATTTTTTTCAAAATAGAATTGTATAAACATTTGTTTAAAAAAAACGAACACTTTATCTTTATTTTTATAAATTATATTCATTTGTTAATTAATTTTTATAAATATTTATTTAAAAAACGTCAATTTATCCAAAATAATTCATATTGGACTCGTTGGATGCGGATTTTGTAGTGCTTTACAGTAGTAACTTCAGAATTGCGTTAAATTTATTTTGTTGTAAAATATTTCAATTTTTATTAATTTTTATTAATTAATTAATTAATAATTCGAAAACAAAAAAAACGTCATTTTTTTCGTTTTAGTTATTGAAAGTACACATCTTAAGCTTTCTTTTCGTACAAAAAAAAAGAAAAAAAAAGGTCCTTTTTGAAAAAAAAATCAAAAAAATTTTTAATTTTTAAAAAAAAGGGTTAAATTTTGAATTAAAAAAAAAAATTTTGCACCATTTGAAAGAGCAGGAAAAACCCTACAAAAAACATATAGGTCAAAATTTTTTTTACTTCATTATATAGAAGCTACGATTTTTTAGAAAACTCACTGTCTATACTTATCCAAAATCTTCAACCCCCACCCCCCTCTACAATTTTTTATAAAATTTCATAATACTTGGTGGTTGAAGTACTCATACATAGTACTAAATACTAGGAAAATATTAACCCGATCCAACAACTTGCAATTTTGACATTGGTACACTTGAGAAATTTTGCCCCATATATATATATATATATATATATATATATATATATATATATATATATATATATATATATATATATATATATATATATATATATATATATATATATATATATATATATATATATATATATATATATATATATATATATATATATATATATATATATATATATATATATATATATATATATATATATATATATATATATATATATATATATATATATATATATATATATATATATATATATATAATATATATATATAGAAATATAAACAATTTATAATTATTTATTATTAGAGTTTGTGTGTACGGAGGAGGAAGTAGAAAAGACCAAATAAATATGGTTTCGGGAGGTGTTCAAATCGTTATTGCAACTCCGGGGAGATTAAACGATTTAGTTCAAGCTGACATTTTAAAAGTTGAATCTGTCACGTACCTGATTCTTGATGAAGCTGATCGCATGTTGGACATGGGTTTCGAACCTCAAATTCGTAAAACTCTATTAGATGTAAGGCCCGATAGACAAACCGTCATGACAAGGTAATTTTATTTTTATTAAACTAAACTGAATAAAATAATAAATAAGGACTTAAATATTTGAAAATATTTTCAGTGCAACTTGGCCATCGGGAGTTAGAAGACTGGCGCAGTCCTACATGAAGAATCCAGTACAAGTTTGTATAGGAACATTAGATTTAGAAGCAACCCAAACTGTTACGCAAACTGTAGTTATGACAACTGATGAAGAAAAAACGAGTATTGTAAGTATTATTTTAATTTATTCCTAAGCATTAATTGTAAATAATGATTTTATAATTAAAACTTATTTTTATTTACTTGTTAGTATTGAAAATAATTGAATTTAACTTATTACGCTTATTTATCTTGGTTAAATTTAATGATATTATTTATTTAATTTAATTAAATTTTTCTGCTTTGCAGTTAAATGACATTTTCGTTAAAATGGGACCTGATGAAAAAATAATGGTGTTTTTCGGAAGGAAAACAACGGTTGATTCAATCTCGAGTGATTTAGCCCTGCAGGGAGTTGTGGCTCAGAGTATTCACGGTGGCCGGGAACAAAGTGATCGAGAACAAGCACTCGCAGATTTAAGAAGTGGCGAGGTTCGAATTCTTTTAGCGACAGACGTTGCTAGTCGAGGTATCGACATTGAGGACATTACGTAAGTTTCTATTTATTATTTAATTCTTTATCATCAGTCTTTGTGCTTTTATTAATTTAATGAATCCTTTGCAGTTGTGTTGTCAATTACGATTTTCCTCGTGATATTGAAGATTACGTCCATCGTGTTGGTCGTACAGGCCGAGCTGGTAGAACTGGAGAGAGTATAACTTTAATGACCCGAAGCGATTGGTCACATGCTAAAGATTTAATTGGTCTTTTGGAAAAAGCTAGTCAGGTGAGTCTCGTTTAATTTAAGGAGGTTGTTTACAGGTATGCAGACATTCAGACAAAATATTGAATTGACAATAAAGAATTTTTTAATATTATTGTTATTCGTATCTTCTGTAAGAAAAAATATCAAATTTCAGGAAAAAAATTTGAAACTTACAAAAATTGTTTATTTAGTTATTTTTCATATGATCAAAGTTTTCTTCATATTAAAAGGTTAAACTTTTTCAAAACTGATTCGATTTAAATCGATGATGGCTTATTTTCTTCAGAAAATGATTCTCTATAACTTGACCGCTCAGATTTATAAACAAATACACTGTTTTGAAAATATGCTTATTTGTTTAAAAAAAGTGATTTAATTTAAAAAGTTTTCTTTAAACAAATAAGCATATTTTCAAAACGATGTATTTGTTTATAAATCTGAGCGGTCAAGTTATAGAGAACCATTTTCTGAAGAAAATAAGCCATCATTGACTTAAATCGAAACAGTTTTTAAAATTTTTAACCTTTTAATATGAAGAAAACTTTGATCGTATGCAAAATGACTAAATAAACAATTTTTGTAAGATTCAAATTTTTTTCTTGAAAATTGATATTTGTTCTTCCAGAAGATACAAGTAACAATAATATTAAAAAATTATTTAATGTCAATTCAATATTTTTTCTAAAGGTCTGCATACCTGTAAACAACCTCCTTAATAATTTGTAATTTTTTCTATTTTTACGAAGGGGCCATAAATACCCTATAAATACTCCCCCTACAAATATAGGGGGAGGGGGGGTCAGCAAGATCTTACGAACAATAAGAAAATGGCGCTAATGTATGTAAAATACCTCACAAGGGGGGACGGGGGGTCAAATTTTTCAAAAAAATGTCTTACATAATTTATGGACAGCCCCCCGAAGGGTTTTTATTTTGCAATTTTACAAAATTTTATTTTTTTATTGTCATATCAAAAGTTTGACAATTAATTTATAAATAGAGTGATTAGTGTTTTTGTGAAATTAGTTTCCCTAGAATTTTTACAATAACCGGATTTTCACAGAATAGGAAAATAAGTAAAGTAAGGAAATTTTATTCAAAGATTTTAAAATAATACGGTTTGTTAATAATTTGTAGTTAAAAACGTAATTATTCAATTTTTTTAGTTATAATTTTATTACAATTTTTTGAAAATATTTGAATTCTTTGGAGAAATTGTATAAAAATTGTACCAAAAATAATTGAATTCTTGCGTAGAATTATTTGGTTAACATTTTTATAAGTACCTATTTGAATTCTTTCGAAAAACTTTATTAACACTTTTTTAAAAATAATTTAACCTTTTCGAGAATTTTAATTAAACTTTTAGAAGTAATTGAACTTTTTAGAGAAATTATGTAAAAATTTTGTTGAAAAATAATTGATTTCTTGCAAAGAATTTTATTAAAATTATATTGAAAATAATTTAATTCTTATGAAGAATTTTATTACTTATAAAGAATAATTCAATTCTTACGAAGAATTTTATTAAATTTTTAAAAAAATAATTGAATACGTAAACTTTTGAATTAATAATTGAATTCCTGCGAAGAATTTTATTATCTAGAAGAAATAATTGAATTCTTGTGAAGAATTTTATTGAATGTTTTAAGAATAATTGAATACTTAAAGTTTTGAATTAATAATTGAATTCTTTCGAAAAATTTTGTTGCAATTTTTAGAAATAATCAATTATCATTTTATCACTTATTTTTCTCTTTAAATAATTGAATTCTCGTACAATTTTTTGATAAGAATTGATTTGAAAAAGAATTTCAGTTAAAATTTTAGAAAATATTTGACAAATTGGAAGAATTGCAATTCTAATTTTAATTAAATTTCAAAAATTCCAATATTTATTAAATAAAAATTAATGAAAAATTTTATTTAGAAATTTTGAAACAATGAGTTTTTTTTTAAAAAATCGTATGTAATTAAATTTTTTGAAAATAGTTGAATTCCCGAAAATATCTTTAAAAAATTGAAAAAATAGGAAATTTTTTCGAATTTCATTAGAATAAATTTTATATTTGAAAGAACTTTATTTTCTCACTTTAAAACACTATTTTTAAAACTTATTGTATTTTTTTGAAGAATTGTAACTAAAAATTTGGAAAAAAATTAAATTTTGCAAAAAGTTTCGTTTTTAAACAATTCAACTATCGTTCAATTCTAATGAGAAATGATTTAAAAAGGAATTTCAGATATAACATTGTTGAAAAATAATTCCAAAAAATTCTAAAGAATTCCAAAAAAAGTTTTAAAATTTAAAAAAATTTAAAATTTCCTTTAAAAAGGAATTTCAGATATAACATTGTTGAAAAATAATTCCAAAAAATTCTAAAGAATTCCAAAAAAATTGCTATTTAAAATTTAATGAATTTAATTAAATTTCCAAAGGTTTTACATTAAAATTTTTATTCCTGTGGAATAAAGAAATAACAATAAGTTTTTAAATATTTGTTTAACCCTCCGTCACACACATGGGAAAAAATTACGACTTTACACACGTTTAGAGGGAATCCCTCACCACATTGTAAAATAAGCAACATTACAACATAAACAAAGGAATCAACAAAAATTTAGTTTTAACACAAACTTACAAATATGTAGTAAATTATTCTAAATTATAAAATTATTAAAATTAATTTTCGGTCTCAAAAAAAAAACATTAATTACACGAATGCACATCTTCGAAGGAATTCCACTTGACATGTAAAAATAACGCTGTCTATTTCGCCAGTTGACGGGCGAAATAAGAGCGATGAATTATTTCGCCCGTCACTAAAAATACATAACTGGCGAAATAAGAGTGATGAATTATTTCGCCTGTCAGATAATTGTTTCTATAATATAATTGAAAAATATGAAATTTTTAAGGTTAATGACAGAAATGACAGAAGTGTGATCAACTGAGGTTATAGCGAATTCGGTTATCTGCTCCGAGAGCGATCTTGCTCGGTGTAGGAGTATAGTTTACTCTGCTCTCAAAAAGCTGTGCTCTACTCTGAGGCACTCTATGACGTCATGAACACTGTCAAAGTTCGACTGTTTTTGGAGCAGGAGCACAACATGAACTGCTATGGTGTAAAGCATACACTGCTCGTTTGGCGCGAAGTTTAAATTTAATTAAACTTATATAATATAATGTAATATAATATTATATTTATTATATTATATATATTATTATACATTATATTATGCAATATATTTTCTTCTTAAATGTAAAATTATTTTACTTAAAATTAAATATTTTATGATGTATACATAAATAATATTTTTAAAAGCAAAAAATTTGATATTTTTATTAGAATATTAAAATTTTATTCAGTCAATGTTTTGATATAGCAGAATTGTTAATCACAAAATTATCGAATAATATTTCTGATATAAATTTTGTTTACACTATTTCACATTTTGAACTACTAACAACAACAATAATAAAATAAGTGAAAAGGTTATTTCTTTGAGACCAAATAATTACTTTATAATGAGTATTTTTATTTAAATATTAAAAATATTGAAAATTATTTACTGTTTTTATTAAATATTAAAATATTGAATGTTAGTCTTTCTCTAAATACAAAATTCATTATAAAAAACATAATTCGTCTTCACTACTATCGCTAGAGGTGTCAATTAAATCTGTTAGAAGTGAAATTTTTAAATTTGCCGCTTCTCTTGACATTTTTTTAAACTGCACTAACAAAATTGTGGGAGCAAATTTTGTTGCACCTTTCGATCCTTGAGAGTGCACACTTCTTAATTCGAACACAAATAACGATCTGCGCCGGAGCAGTGCTGCCAAAACGAATACTCGAAACGATCTGCGCCGGAGCAGTGCTGCTAAAGCGAATACTCCAAACGATCTGCACTAGAGCACATTTGTCAAACCGAACATGCTACAGGCCAACGCAGAATAGAATCTTTAACCGGAACCGCAATCGTAAGCGTAACCGTAAGAATGAGTTAAAGAAGGATAGGTATATTGTTTATCCTTCTCTAACTCATTCTTACGCTTACGGTTACGATTGCGGTTCCGGTTACAGATCTATTCTGCGTTGAGCACTCCGGAGCACTCCGAGAGTGCTCCGGTGCAGATAACCGAATTCGCTATAACCTCAGTTGATCACACTTCTGTCATTTCTGTCATTAACCTTAAAAATTTCATATTTTTCAATTATATTATAGAAACAATTATCTGACAGGCGAAATAATTCATCACTCTTATTTCGCCAGTTATGTATTTTTAGTGACGGGCGAAATAATTCATCGCTCTTATTTCGCCCGTCAACTGGCGAAATAGACACAGCGTAAAACGCTATAATGCAACATTAACAAATAAGCAAAAAAATCATTAAACAATTCATTTTAATTATATTTATATTATAATTTTGTCATTAACCAACAGTGGAACAAAAAATGTTTCGAAAACTTTATTTTTTTATTTAACATAACCTCACTTTTTCGAGTTTTTTCTGGCTTTGAAGCTTAATAATTAAATATTAATTGTGTTTAAACTACACGGAGAGAAAAAAAAGAGAGCCGTTTGATTTGGCAAGAGAGCGCTGTTTTCCCTTTATAAAGCGCAGCAGTAGCGCCGCAAACGTCGAACGGTTATACTTTTTGAGGACTATCGGTTCTCTTCTCCACACAAATCAAGGAGTAAGACTAAGGAGACTGAACTGACTGTGTGAAGTCTCTCAAAAATGAAACTTTTTCTGTAGGGGAACTATACTCGCAGAATGACAAAACTTATGCTCCGCGCGCATGCGCAGTACATGCGCATATTGCCCTCTCTTTTTATATCGTAAAATATGAGCAAGTGAGAAAACAAAAACATATCAATAGGTTATGGTTATGTTTTGACATATGATTCTTAAAATAAAATTACAAAATTATGGTTTGCTGCATACCAGAATGCAAAACATCATATTACAATGATCGACAAACGAATAAATTAACTTATTGATAACTTTTATGTGACATTTAAAGCTGTTTATTTATAAAGTATATAATTAAAGTAAATTACAAATTCGTAAATATTATTTATTTAGGAATTGTTCAATTGTTTCCACAAAGAATAAAACACTTTGAAGTTATATACCAAAAAAATGTATTCTGAACATTTATAAATATTTCATTATATTATTAATATATTACTTATCACTGAAAAATATACACTCTTTAGTATATATTTTTATATGCGCATATATATTTATTAAATTAATTTTTTTTTCAATTTATTAATAGTTATTATTAATAATATTTCCTGAAACGCACAACATTCACAAACATTAAACATAACCTTCTCAACTTGTAGCTTATCATGATTTTCTCAGTCGCATCTGAGTTACTGAGAAAGACAGAGACAAATATATTGCATGTGCGCATGCGCGAAAACCATAATTTTCAGTCTTACGTATAGTTTTAATGCGACGAATGGTTTCACTTCCATAGCATTAGTTTAGTCTCCTTAGTCTTACTCCCTGACACAAATAGAGCCGCTTACTTCCAAAAAAGTGTACCCGCTTTCCCCAAAAAGGAGAACCGTTCTCCCCTCGAGAGTAAGCAGCGTGCTTAACACGGAGTAATAATAAGGAGACTGTACTACCAGTGAGATACCGTGCCAAATGTCTGCCTTGGTTCACTGAGTAGTAAAGACTTCTCAAAAATAAAGCGCATGCGCAGTTTGCAACTATCTTCGTCACTCTTGAAAGAACGATGAGAGAGATCATTATTTTGACGTGCGAGTTAGAAAGTGTGGTTATGTTTTATTGTTGACAACAGCAACTATACGGGAAAATCAACATTTAAATAAGAAAAAATATTAATTAACAAACTGCAAAGAGAAGAGTAAGTACAATATATTATAATATTAATAAATTGTAATATAGGTGTGAGTAGATATTAATAAAAAGATTATTTTTGTCGAACCGGAGTAATTCTTTTCTTTGTATGATAAAGTGAATGAATACAATATAATATAATGCTATAATCGCTATAATGCTAATATAATTAATATCTACTCACACATTTCCTATATTACAATTTATTAATATTATTTAATAGTATAATATATATTGTCAACAGTAAAACATAACCACACTTTCCAACTCGCACGTCAAAATAATGATCTCTCTCATCGTTCTTTCAAGAGTGACGAAGATAGTTGCAAACTGCACATGCGCGTTATTTTTTAAAAGTCATTACTACTCAGTGAACCAAGGCAGAAATCTGGCACCAGTTTGACTAGGGGATACGCTGGAGAGCAGTCTCCTTATTATTACTCCGTGGTGCTTAACCTCAAGTTGAACGGCTGTTTCGCATTTAACGCAACCGCTCTACCGACAGGTAGAGCCGCTTACTTTTTTTTCTCTCCGTGTAAATGTTTTTTTAGAAATGTGTTGAGGAGTAAATTGTCGAAAGGTATAGAAACTGATTATATTTTGCAATGAGGAAAACAAAAGTTATTTAAAAAATACTGAAGCCGTAGAGGGAAAATCCCCCTACACTGAAAGAATTTTGGGCAGGCTGCAGGCTTTACATGAGTGCCGCTAGAGCTCGCTGCCTCAAGCTCGCAGTTAACCTCAAAAAGGCGAGAATCTACACGGAAAAAAAAGTACGTGAATTTTTCATTGACTCGGTACTTGACTTTTGGATACGACACAAAATACTAAAAACAGTCTAGTACTTTTGCATGAGAGTTTCAAAAGCAGTCAATGAAAATTTCTAGTACCTTGCTTGAGAATTTCATTGACTTTCAAAAAAACTGTAAAATAAAAAAAATAATTTCCACTTGTTCACAGCGTTTTTCTGAAATCCACTCATTCATTCACATATTTGGATAATTAATCACACAAACAAAGAACAATTATTGTATCACTTTTCGACGTTCGTCAACACTTATGAACTAACCTATAACACACACATATATTCGCGTATAACTTAAATATAAACACACACTTAACACTTAAAAGTACGTATCGAATTGTTCTTATATACCACATGGTGAAATTTTTCACGACTTCTGAGACATACTATTTCACTGAAAACTGAGACTTACATAACATTCTGTTTTGTGAGAAACACAAAACAAAAAATATTTTTTTGAAAGTCAATTCTTGAAGACAAATATATATTAACACTATTTGTTTTTCATAAAATAATAGTATATTCACATCTGAGATTAACACAAACGGAAACAGACGATCAGCTGGCATTTACCTTGGGTAGAAACGCACAACGCACACTGCGCATGCTCTACAGAATTTTCAAGCGCAGTCAACTAATCTTTCACGTACTTTATAAAACTGAATAAATGACTTTTCGTTAAAATTTAAAAAACACTGTTGCCCATACTAGTACTAAAATAACTCTAGGACTTTTCTATATTTTCTAATAAAAAGTATATGATACAGCCTTGTACTTTGTGTTCTATCCAAAAGTCAAGCACTTTCAAGGAAGGATTCACGTACTTTTTTTTCCGTGTACTCCCGAAAGGTAAGCAGCAACTCCTCAGGGGCAGCTGCTCACCTTTCGGGAGTAGATGCTCGCTTTTTTGAGGTGAGCTGCGAGCCCTGTGCAAGGAGCACTAATTTCGGACATGAAAAGCCAGCAGCCTGCCTAAAATTCTTTCAGTGTAGGTGTGTGACGGAGGGTTAACAAAAATTATTGAACTTCTAAATAGGTAATTTAATTTAGAAATTCTGAAAAAATGTAATTAAATTTCTTGAAATTTTTAAAGAATTGTAAATAAAAATTTTGAAAATTGTAATTGAATATTACAAAAATTATTCTATTTGAATAATTGAATTCTCGTAGAATTCAAATTCTGATAGGAATTGATTTGAAAAAAATGACTGAAATTTTTGAAAAATAATTGAATATTAGAAGCATTATAATAGTAATATTAAGAAATAGGTAATTAATTAAATTTTAAAAGGTTTTTAAACATTTTAATCGCCTGTAAAAGCATAATAATATTAAAATGTTTTTTAAAATTAAAAAAAAATTAGGTTTCTAAATTTTTGTAATTAAAATTTTTTTGAAGATAATTGAATTCCCGAAAATAATTTTAAGAATTGAAACAATTAAAAGTTTTGTCAAATTTCATTGAAACAAATTTAATATTTGATAGAAATTGTTTTGAAATATTTTTGAAGAATTATATCTAGAAAAATTATATTTTTTAACAAATACAATTTCAAAAAGAAAGTATTTGTAACTAACAAGGAGCATTAAAATTGAACGCTAGTTATTCTTGTTATTTATTGTTTACTTTGTTAACAGGAAGTTCCCCAGGATTTGTACGACATGGCAGAAAGATACACTGTTTGGGAAGAGAAGAGAAATCAAGAGAGAGATCGCGACAGGAGAGACGCTGGTGGCAGAGGAGGTCGGGGTGGACGAGGAGGTCGTGGAGGTCGAAGAGGCGGTGGTAACCGCTGGGGCAATAGTGATTATTAAAATCTAGTTCCAAAGCAGATAATATATAAAAATAAAATTTTGATTTATATTATTTAAAGAATATTATGAAACTAAGAGAGAAAAATTTCACGGTTTTTGAGAAACTGTGCAATATTATTATTAGCAGTACGAGACTTACGAATAATGGAAATACGATGTCGATTCAAGAGACACGTATCATTTTATTTTTAATTCGAAGAGACTGATAAATAGAAATAGCAAAAAAAAGTATGCTAAGACTTAGTTAAAACTTGAGTATTTAAACTCGTTTCCTACCATTTTTTTTATATTGTTATTACTGTTCTTTAGATGATTATTATTATTATTATATTTAGAGGCGACTGTCAGTATTAAGCGCCAAGTACGAAGAAACGCTCTTCCAAATCGAGACACGTTCAGTTTCGTTCCTTTCCTTTCATTTTTCTTCATTGAATAAAAATTCTTTCTTCACTAAAAATTCTAAATTATGTATTTATTATGACGTAATTTACAAAAAAGGAAAATTTTAGGTAAAAATAATTGTCACTTTTTTACAATGATTTTTTCTGACTTATCTTTGATTAAGCAAATTGTCCAAATAACTTAAACATTGTAAGTGTAAAGAGGAATAAAAGTGGTTAATTTTTCTACAAAATTGCTCTTTATTTTCTTTCTTACTAACAGAAAAAGTGAAATTTACAAAGTTGCATTTTAAAAAAAGCAAAAATTGTTTTACGTGAAAATTATAGAAAATATCTTCTAAAATTAGAACTAGGTAATAGTTAATTGATCTCAGTTCACGTGAACTTATTTTTTACGTAGCGTGTAAGGAGTAATTTATATGAAAAGTTTACAAAAATAATATTAAATTCTAAGTATAATAATTATGGGAAACTTATCTACAATAAAGAAATATTGCAAGAGAAATATGTCACAATATAATTTCATATAAATTATTATTTAAATTCTAAAAGTAATCTTTAACTTATTTAAAGAGCTGATTATTCAGATATCAGAATTTAGTGATACAACAAATGTATCTATTATAATTTTTTTTTTCTTTTTTTTTTAATTTTTACGTGTTAATTTATTTTTGATTACTCTAAAATTCTTTAAATTATCTAAATTGCAAGAGAAACAATTCTTTCCCTTTCTTGTAAAATTGAAGACAATAAGACAGTCAAAGAATTTTCTTTCTAGTTTTTAAGAACGTTCATACGCTTTACTATTCTTGAAAAAAATCCACCTTCTTTAAATTTATTTTACCACCTAATCCAAAATTTCTTTAATAGAAAAGAAATTGAATTTGAGTCCTTCAGCATTTCCTTGCTGAAGAATTTTCTAAAATTTTTACAATTGGTTTTATTACAGAAAGAAGAAAAATTTTCCCGATATTCAAAAAAATTAAAAGTATTTTCAAGAATAATTAAAGACGAAGAATATTCTGAATCTTGGCTCTAAAAAAATTAGAATAGAAAAGTACATGAAGAAATTATGATCAATTTGTGGAAAAGTCGTAGAAAAAAATTCGAAAAGTAAAAAATAAATTTCACAAGCGATAAAAATAATATTATAAAATTTTTTTAGAGATTCTACTTAGCTGTAGACTAAGAAATTTTGAGTTTTTGTGTATTTTAAGGCAAAAAGTTTTCCACTTGGTGTCGGCGTTGAGAATGCGATGTCATCAATTGACATTATATAACCATAAAAATAGTTTCTCCTGAAAATAAAAGAGAATATTTTTAATTATTATTATAATTTTTTAAAAAATTAAATTTTTAAAGATTAAATGCAAAATTTGATTGAAATTTAAAATATTGTTTAAATATAGAAAAGTTAAATTCCACAATTTAAATAAAATTATTTTCATAAATAATAGAATTCCTCGTAGGAATTGCAATTCAGTAGAACCTCGGTTATCCGACACTCCGGGTTGTCCGAGGCATTGAACATGCTCGGATAATGCGGAAAAAAATGTTCACAGGACCACTATTTATGTTCATTGCATTTAAAATTTCGTCTATTTTTGTAGTTCAATATTATTCTAACATTTTAAACACATAAAAAATAATTGAAATTTTCATTTGTTCGTGTTATCCGTGTTTTCGATTATCCGAGGCATCTCTTCCCCACATTACCTCGAATAATCGAGGTTTTACTGTACCTATTTAAAAAAAATTTAGTAAAATTCTCAGAAATTCAATTTAAAAAATTTAAAAAATTTTTTTTTTTTTTTTAAATTTTTAAAATTTTTAAAATTCATATTTACAAAAATTTCAGGAAAAAATCTAATTATTTTCTGCAATTTTAATAAAATTCTTAGCAACATTTAAATTATTTTCATAATTAATAAATACTTCTCAGAAATTTAGGGTCATTTGGGGTAAATGTAAACAAGGGGTAAATGTAAACAGTAGATGTTTCAGCTAAATTTACAAATTTAAAAATAAGTACGACGTCAATATTTTTACTTCAGCTCACCTACAAGATGTTCTGAGTATTGCCAATATTTTATTTTGACAATTGGCAATACCATAGTGTAAGTTATTTTTTAATGCAAAAAATATTGAAAATCAAAATTTTACTGTTTCAGTATTTTGTCTCGCATTTGCATAAAAATAAATTTAAAAATCAAACAAAATTATGTAATTCTTTCTTATTAATGCCCTATTAACTTTGATTTTTGATTTTCGTCAATTTAGTTAATAAATAATTAAGTGTTTACATTTACCCCGAGAATTTGAAAACTCGGGGTAAATGTAAACTACATTTTAAACTACATTTTTCAACTACATTTGAAAAGAAAATAATTGAATAAATTTGCTTCTTTTTCACAGTTTCATTAATTTGGCAATGTAAAATTACATAGAAAAAGAAATTAGGTCCTCTTTGAAAAAAAAAATTTGATAAAAAAAAAAATTTTTTTTTGGAAATTTGATCAATTTTAAAAAATATTCTTAGGTTCATCCGCCATTTTCAAAATTAACAATTTGACTTCAAATTCGTATACAGCGACCTCAAAAACCCCCGAGTAGCCAGATTCAAGCAAATTTGATCAATTTTTAAAAATATTATTTTTAGGTTCATCCGCCATATTGGATCCACCATTTTGAAATTTAAAAATTCGATTTTAGATTCTTATTCAGCAACCTTGAAAACTTCTTTTTTCTAAGTTAAATGAAAATCTATTAAAATTTCTTCAAGTTATTCAAGTTTTTACATTACTAATTTTGTAATGGTTGATTGTTTATTTATATGATACATTATCAGTCAACTGGTTGATTTACTATACATCTACGAAGAATTTTTTTTTCAGTTTTTCCATTTCTTAAAACAGTAGTATACACGGAAAAGTTTTCGGGCGAGCTGCGTTCTCCGCGCGTAGAGAAGGTTTCCTAAAAGAGAGAAGGCATATCGCCTTGTAAATGGGTGAGCTTCTCTCTCTACTGGGAACGCTGCTCACCCGTTGGACGAGCTGCGCTGAAAGTCAGTGGTAGATACACGACTGGTAGAGCAGCTCGTCCAATGCTGGCCTGCTGCGCTATCTTTTTGCGACTATTGCTGCACCAAAGTGAAGTTGCGCAGCGTTACTAGAGCAAATAGAGTTGCTCGCCCCAAAACTTTTCCGTGTACTTGAAATAACTTGTTTCTTAAACCTCGCTTAACTACAGTGGTGTTTACATTTACCCCGAATTTTAGGAAAATTTCAAAATCTCGGGGTAAATGTAAACAGTCAGTTTTAGGCGATTCAGGTGCATCAATATTTTTTTGTACCTCATAAAATTTTTCTAGGGAACACTAGCAACAAGTTCATGCAAAAGAAATTCGTCCGTTTTACCTTTTAACAAAAAAAACTAAGGTTTTTGGTGAAAGATACATATTCCGTTTACATTTACCCCAATTGACCCTAATTATTTTGAAAAATTTTGGTATGATTGTTTATAAGAATGAAATACTTTCAATACAATTTTAATTAAATTTCTCAAAAAAAATTTAATTTTTTCGTAAACTTAAAATAAAAGTCTTTTATTTCAATTATTTTCATAATTAATACAAATCTTCACATAAATTATTTATTATTATTATTATTATTATTATTATTATTATTATTATTATTATTATTATTATTATTTATTATTTATTTTAAAAGTTGTAATAAAATTTCTCAAATGAATTTAATTATTTACAAAGAATGTTAATAAAAATAAAAAATAAATAACCTATTCAATAACCTATTCAATTATTTTCAAAAAATTTGATAAAACTCGCTGTAAAGGAATTTAAATAATTTTTATATATTTTCAATTAAATTGCTAGTAAGATTTACATACAATATTTTTAAATTTTTTCGTAAGAAATTCAATTATTTCAAATTTATAATAATAAAATAAATAAATAATATTATTTATTATGTAAAATATTTATTATCCTACATTATCCTTTACTAAATTTTTCAAAACTAACAGTAATTAATAAGAAAATTTTTTTCATGTTAAAAGACGTTTTTGTTAAAAAAATACATTTTTTATAAATTTTATTATTTTGAATCAGAACTAATTTCAATGTTATTAATTTTGAAAATAATTGAAATCTTGATAAGAAACTTATTAAAATTTTCGAAAATAAGTAAATTTTTTTCACGAATTTATTAAAAATTATTGTATTGAAAATATTGCAATTCTCATAAAGAATTCAATCAAAATTTTTCAAAATAATTGAATTTATGTCAAGAATTTTATTAAAATGCATTAAAATAATTAAATTCCAGTTAAAGTATTTTATAAATGATGAAAATAATTGAAATTTTGCTAAAAATTTTATGAAAATTTTCGAAAATTATTGAATTTTTTGAGAAATTTAATAAAACTTGAAAATATTTCAATTTTTATAAAGAAATTTATCAAAATTGTTCAAAATAATTAAATTTTAGCAAAAAAATTTATTATTTAGAAAAAGACTAAAAAATTTTTCAAAGATTTTATTTAAATTTTTTTCTTGTAAAAAATTTTATTGAATTTTTCTCAAATAATAAAATTCTTGGGACGAATATTTATTAAAATTATTTTAAATAATTAAATTTCTGCCAAAGTATTTTATAAATGATAAAAATAATGAATTTAATTAAAATTGTATGAAAAATATTTCAATTTTCATATTTTCAATTTTTTTTAAATTTTCAAAAAGAATTTTATCAAAATTGTTCAAATTAATAGAATTTCTGAGAAGAATTATAATATTTAAGAAAGGAATTACATTTTTTCCAAGTAATTTAATTAAATTTTCTTTCTTATAAAAAATTTTATTGAAATTTTCCAAAGTAATGAAATTTTTGTGAAGAATTTTATTAAAATTCTGCGTGAAATAATTAAATTCCTAAAGAATTTTATTGATTATGAAAATAATTCAATTCTCAGAAATAGTTTTATAAAAATTTATCAAAGTAATTAAGTTCCTGCGAAGAATTTTATTAAAGTTTTTTAAATAATTGAATTTTTTCAAGGAATTGAATTAAAATTGTCTGGAAAATATTTCAATTCTCAATTTATTCTGCATTTTTTAAAATAATTGAATTCTTTTGAGAAATTTAATTGAAATTGTATTGAAAATAATTGAATTCCTGCGAAGAATTTTATTAAAGTTTTTGAAAACAATAAATAATTAGAATTAATTAGTAAAGTTAATAATTTAATTTTTTAAATTTTACTTAATTTTCCGAATATAATAATGATTAAGTAGTTAATTACTTAATAAGTGAATTTTTTTAAATTTCCATCTGAAATTATTCAAAAATTAAAGTTGATTTTTAAAAATAAAAACTTTTGTAATTTGAGTAATATAATACAGTAGAACCTTGGTTATCCGAGCCTCGATTATCCGAGATTCCGGATTATCCGAGGCACTAAACATGCTCGGTTAATGCCGAATAACTCGGATAAAACGAATCGAGCGACTAAATTTGGAAAAAAAATTTTACAAAACTACTATTTGTGATCATTGCATTTAAAATTTCGTTAATTTTTGTCGTTTAATATTATTCTAACACTTTAAACACATGGAAAATAATTTTAAATTATGAAATTTTCATTTGTTCCGTGTTATCCGAGTTTTCGATTATCCGAGGCACCTCTTCCCCACATTACCTCGGATAATCGAGGTTCTACTGTAAAAACAATATGAAGCATTATGTAAAAAAATAATATAATTCAGTTCGAAGTCTGAATAATCATAATAAATACTAAAACTAAACTAATACTAAAACTAACTTTAAATGCGGACAGAATGAAAGAATGTGCGAAAATTAACGTAGTTAATAATAAATATTTGAATTTATCACCCGGTCGTCTTTCTTAGTTAAAATATAAAACACTGAGTTGAACGATCACTCCGAGTCAGTGTTTTATTTTGAATTAATTAATAAAATAATTGTATTTGAAGATTTGATACAATTAATTAATTGAAATTACCTGAGAGTATCAACGAGTTGTGTAGCAATTCCCTTCCGACGATGACTCAAAGCCGTCCAAACAACATTAACACCACATTTGACTGGCGTACTCTCTGAACTGCAACAATCCAATTCCATCAGTTCCGGAATCATTCGATGTGCTTCCTTCACCGATTCGACGACAAGAACACCCAAAACATTCCTGTCTCTCACGTACAAGTAAACCTTCTTGTCACGATAGTACGACAATTGCATATCCACCAAACCCAAATCAGCATCAACCACATTCAAAATCTCCGTCACCTTCTTCCAATGCTGCTTATTATCAACCGGGTCAATGAGAATAATCCGACTCATCGTTGACTCATCGTCCCAAATCACTCTCTCATTCTTCCAACCCTGGAACTTGAGCGTTCTCGTACTATTATGATAATTTAGATGCGCCATCTCGTCCTCGGGATCGCCCATCTGGTAGACAATTCCACATTCATTGCACTGAGTCGCACCGAATTTTTTCTGACCACAGTCCAGTTGGTACTGATCCGATCCGCCTGCTGATCGCGATAGAGTCGATTTTTTCTTCTTGGAACTTTCGGGTTTCGCCGCTTCCTCTTTAGTTGAGAAGCCTTTCGTGAAGAGTGGATAATATTTTACTGTTTCACCGTCAGTACTGTCTTGGATCGAGTAGGTTTTCAGACTCAAAATTTTTGTCAACTTTCCCTCGTCCTTGTCGTCGATGTTCATGAACGAAGTCATGTTACTCAGCTCACTGGCAGGCGACATCATCGCGTCTTGGAAAAGTACTTTCTCCGCTGGTTCGTACTCGTCATCGGCCCAGTCGTCCTCGAGAATCTTCAACAAGTCCTCCACGTCCTTCTTACGTGATTCATTGTCCAGCTCGTCGACGACCGTCAGATCGTTCGCGTCGAGTGAAATGTCCATTTTAGCCTTCTTGTGAGTTCTTTCGTTCTTCTCCGATTCGTTTGCTTTCGAAGGAAGAGTTCGCTTTTGTCGCACGGTCTTAAAGAAACGTCTACTAGAATCAATCACGACATCTTCCTCAACTGAGGTCTGTGTTTTGTTCCAGAAATCGAAGTTGATTTTAAGTTCACTGTTCGTTGGAGTTTTCGTCGATTCGACTTTGTCCTCTTCGGGGCGATTTTCCTCTTTCTTTTTGAAATTTTCTATTCGGGACACGTGCTTTTTGGGCTTTGGTTTCTTGATTCCGTGCGAAACGCCACAGTTGATTTCGCTTCTTCTGGATCTTCGGTAGGATCGTGAAGTCGGGAGGCTGCGGCGCTTCTTCGACTCGTCGTATTGCTTCCAGTCGATTCCGAAAGCGCTGAGACGATCCCTTCGTCCGCTGCCGTAGAACGACTTCGTGTCGACGGTCATGCTGCTAATCTGGCTGTCCTGGAAGAGAGAAGCCCTGGCTTTTGGAATCGAGGAACCCTCGTCGATTTTCTGTAGTTTCGACCCCTTCTGGTTCGAATCGTTAATGTGCCTCTTGACCGCAATTCCCGACTTCTCCGGGGAAATCTCGTCAATGTCGAAAGAACCGATGGTCTTGCGACGATGCAGACGTGGAAGCGACACGTCCTTGTTGACCGAACCTAAAGGTGTGATCATTCTCTGCTCCGTGAACTCCTTCTGCGGCGTCTCCTCGACGTGATTTTCGTTCTGCTCCTTTTCATCTCTGAGAGGAGTTTCCGGAATGAATTCGTTGCCGGTCGACTTGGGTGAATCGGGGAAGATTTTTCGCCTCGGCGACGAGCGGGCTTTTCTCGTCAAGTGTTTGAGAGTGCTGAATGGAGAAATGCGTTTGTCGGCAAGTAACGAGGTGGGTATGAGACGATCCCAGGTGGCTTTTATCACGGGGATTTGAGGCGAACCGTCGGGCGTTGCCAGAGGTGAAATGAATTGACGACCTGGGGAACTGCTTGTACTGCTGGGACTTCCATTTGTCAGAGCCAGTGGAGACATTGGTCCTAAATCTGACTCGTCTCCGGAGTTTATGTCATTTTCCTTTCCGCGATGCTCTTGTTGGAAAAGACTGCGTTTTATGATACTCCCAAAAGGCCCGAAGAGGCGTTTCTGTGATCGCCGAGGAGTGCACAGCATCTCCTGCGACTCTTGTCCACTGTCACTGGATATCATTGTTGGACAACAATCTAAAATCAAAATTCAAAATTAGTCTTTTTGTTAGTAATAACTAACAACATTAAATTACGTCGGTCAAGTTCGCAAAGTTTATGATCAACGATTGGAAAAAAAATATTTTTTCTACTAAAAGGAATAAAATTTTTTGTTCACAAATATTTCTTTTCTAAATTATTAGTCAAAAAACTTAACGTAATATTTTATATACAAAAATTTATAAAAATTATTAACTAATTTACAAATTAAATATAATTATTTATTGTTTTCAAAAACTTTAATAAAATTTTTCGCAGGAATTCAATTATTTTCAATACAATTTAAATAAAATTTCTCAAAAGAATTTAATTATTTTTAAAAATTTCAAAAAATCTTGTAAAAAATTCAATTATTTTAAAAAATAAGTTGTTAAAAATATGTCCTACCATAGTTTGTTAATGTTGATAATATATATGACCTTGGGAATTCATCTTTTAAAAAATGATGAATAAGTACATTCTTTATGAGAATTGAAATATTTTCAAAACAATTTAAATTGAATTCCTTGAAAAAATCCAATTATTTTCGAAAATTTTAATTAAATTCTTCGCAGAAATTCAATTACTTTAATAAATTTTGATAAAATTATCTCTGAGAATTGAATTATTTGCATAATGAATAAAATTCTTCAGGAATTTGATTATTTTAAAGAAAAAACCGCTGCAAACTTGCATATTTTTGTTATAATTTTGGAGTTCATTTCATGAACACTTTCTTTTCTCATAAAAATAATAATAATAGAAATATATGAATAACTTTTTATAAATATGGTAAAAGTGATTAAGTTTTGGATAAATCAATGTATTTTTCAATACTCTACAAGATAGTTATAATTGTTTAATAGTTAAAGTTTAATAGTCTTCAAACAAAAAAGTTGAGAAAATGTCATTTTCCACAATATTTTTGGTTTTTAAAATACCAATAATTTCGAAATTTATGATCGAATTAGGTTTAAAAATAGGTCAATCGAAGAGTTTTTTAATGCTTTACAAGTTGGTAACGATATTTTTATAGTTACTTCTACATTTTTCAACAAAATTTTCAAAAAAGTCTTATTTTCCAAAATTTTAGATTTTTAAAAGTTTAATATCTCCGGTTAATATGGACAAAAAATGTTCAATAAGGACTCAAAAGATGCGTCTAAAAAAACTCTACAAAATTAGAGAAAAACATTTTTACGTGTTCTAACATTTTTTTTAAGTTATGGACAAAAACGATTTTTTGAAAAATTCAAAATTAAAAAAAAATATAGTTAAACTTTATGAATCGGGCTGAAAATACTCTTATATTATGTTTGCACGTGAGACCTACAATTTAAAAAAAATCATCCCTAAAGCAAAAGAAAAGAAAAAAAATTAATTAAATACTTTGAAATTTTTTTAATCTTTTCCCAAATAATAAAATTAAATTATTTTGAACAATTTTGATAAATTTTTTTTTAAATTGAAATATTTCCAATTTTAATTAAATTTCTCAAAAAAATTCAATAATTTTCGAAAATTTTATTAAAATTCTTAGCAAGATTTTAATTATTTTCATCATTTCAAAAATAATTTGGTAGGAATTTAATTTAATTTAATTTCAATAAAAGTTTTTACAAGGAACAAATTTAATTAAAAGAGCTTAAAAATTTTTTTAGTCTTTTCCTAAATGGATGATTCTCCTGAAAGGGACCACTTCACGTGTTTCCAACATGAGGTTCTATTTACATTAATTTCCTATTGATATTCTATCAAGTTTAAATTTTTTGAAAAATTTATTTATAATCTACGAAGATTTATCTATTTTTATGTAATCTTCTAATACTTATATTTAAAGTTCTTCCTTGATAAAAAAAGTTATTGAAATTATTAATTAAAATAGTATTATGAATTCATGAGAGTATAAATTGAATTCATCTCCGAAGCCTCGTTTTCTAAGTAATAACATATTTTTTAACGTTTTAAACATAATATGTAACCTATGTAAAAATATTTGATGATTAAAACTACAAATATGAAATATGAAATTTATTTGAACATTTTAAAATTTTTAAATATTATTACACATATATTATTAAACTAAATGAAAAAATTTTCATTATATATTTTTTGTTGTTAATAGCAAAGAACTGTCTACTGTAAGTAGAGTCCTCGAAAATCTGGTTGACATGATATCATGAAGTTGAAGTCCACAACGAAAAAAATTTGTTTAATCTATTCCAATATTATTTTTAATTTAATATTCAATTGTATAACAATTATTATCAGATTATAAACATCAGTTTATTTTTTCTAAATATTTTTGTGACAATGTTGCTCTGTTATCTTTTACTAATTTACTAAGTGAACAATTTTTTTCGTTGATAAACGTTGTGGGACTTCAACGTGATCATGATATCTCCAGTCAGAACAGACGGAATCAAAAATTCAAACGGCATATTAAAATATTGGTAAGTGGTTATAGCCCAAAGTAAAATAAAAAAATGTTCATTGAAAAATAACACAGTGCGGACTTTTTACTATTTTAACCCTTCTTTTGCAACTAAAATTGTTTAAAAACAGGTTAAAAATTATAATTTTACTTCGGGCTATAACCACTTTTACCTATATTTTAATATGCCGTTTAAATTTTTTGATTCCGTCTGTTCTGACTGGAGATATCATGTCAACCAGATTTTCGAGGACTCTACTTACAGTCGCCAGTTTTTCGCTATTAACAACAAAAAATATAGAAAGAAAATTTTTTTATTTAGTTTAATATATGTGTAATATGTAAAAATTTTAAAATGTTTAAGTAAATTTCACTATATGAAAAAAAAAATTCTTCAAAATTTTAATAGAATTTTTACCAAGATTTAAATTATTTTCATAATTAATAATATTTCTCAAAAGAATTCAATTATTTTAAAAAATTGTAATAAAATATCTCGAAAGAATTCAATTATTAAAAAAATGTCGATTAAACTCTAGGTAAACGTACCAATTGTCGAGGATGGTTCCTGTTGTCGAGTAAACAAACTTTGAATTTTATTTAAGGGGGGGGGGGGTATAGTTAATTCGGTGAAAAAAACGCATGTTTTTAAGAATTTTTTTTGGCGATACGCAGAAAGTTAATTTATTTTATCGCTTTGCATATAATACTGCAACACTTGAACAATATTTTTCTAAATTTTAATTTAAAAATATTAAGAACTGAGCAAGATTCTAACATTTTCCTCAGGCGCCTCCAAAAATTTGCGGTGTTCACTCTAACTCGCAACAGAATCATCCAAAACAAAAAAATCAAAGTGCATTTGTTAAAGGAGATGTTTTTTGAGGTAACATCGGAAGCCATTATTTTTTTATTAAAAAATTACCAATTTTACAATAACAAATTAATCGATTTTTTACAGTGAAAATCGACTTTTTGGCTTTCAAGTGCTACGGAAAATCGAAAAGTAAAAAAACAAAAAAATCCCTTCCGATAATACCTCAAAAAACATCTCCTTTAACAAATGCATTTTGATTTTTTTTGTTTTGGATGATTCTGTTGCGAGTTAGAGTGTACACCGCAAATCATTTTTTTTTGACGCGGCTGAGAAAAATCTCATTATCTCGCTCAATTTTTAATATTTTTAAATCAAAATTTAAAAAAATATTGTTCAAATGTTGCAATGTTATATGCAAAGTGATAAAATAAATTAACTTTCTGCGTATCGCTAAAAAAAATTCTAAAAAACATGCGTTTTTTTCACCGAATTAACTATACCCCCCCCTTAAACATTTTAGCACATTGTAAATGGAAAAAAGTGATAAATATTAATTTTCTTATGCGTTATAAATGTGAAAAAATATATTAATATTACATCCACAAACAAATGAGATATTTTAGACAATATTTTTTGGTTATTACCATGGTAACATCGACAAATGGGACACCCTCGGCAATTGGTACATTTACATAAAAATTTAAATCTTTTTAATGCAATTTTAATTAAATTTTTCGCAAGAAATTTGATTATTTTGAAAAATTTAGATAAACTTCTTTCTAACAATTCAATTACTTCCGATTCAAAATAAAAAAAGAAATATTTTTAATTGAAAACAATTTGGTTTAATTAATTTTTAGAATTTTTTAATCTTCAAAGCATTAAATTAGAATTTCATTAATTTTAATTTCAAAACATTAAGAAGAAAAATTATCTTCCAAATGAACGTAATATTTGTAAAAAAAATTTCATAAATTACTGATTTCAATAAAATTTCGAAACTTGAATTTTACTTTAGAAATTCTATTAATTTGTTTATAGTTAAATTCGAACGTTCAGACTTCAGAATATAAAAGTTTTTAGTATCTTTTAATTAAAAAACACTATTCAATTCCAATCTCAAATTCAGGGATATAAAAATTACAGCCAAATATTTCTAAATTAAATAATTTTAGTACTCGCCCCGTTTAAATTGAAATAAATAAATTTTAAAAACACTAAAAAAACAACAAGTCTGTTAGCAACAACGGCAATAACTCCCTGAATTCTCCCGCTCAAACTTTTACCTTTTCCATTCACCCAATTTTTTAGGTTAGAATGTCATACAGATATCAAAATAATATGTAAATTTATAAAATTCATCTCACTTGGGTCATTAACAATGAAGAAACATTAAAAACACTGATAAGGGAAAACTCTAAAAAGACAAAATCGTTTGTTTGTTTTTATTTACAGGGGTGTGATTACTTTTTTACGATACAACTTAAAGGGCTTAAAAAGAGACTATTAGGTACGAAAATTGAATTATAACCTTTCAATTAAAATCATGCAAGATAAAAAGGATTCTTACGCTTTCTTTTGTTCGCTTACGAAACCAGTCGAAGGAAATTTTCTTTTAGAAAACAACAAAAATTCATCCGAAGCAACTTGTTTTTTTTTACAGGAAGTGTAACGGCTATTTTCCCTCCTTTCCCTTTGTGATGTATTATTCACTGCGCATCTAACGTGCGCAGCAAGGAACTCGGATTTCGCACCTGCTCGATTTCTTGTTTCTGATTGGTGGAAAAATTCATGTAATGGAGCACTCACAGCTCTGCCTGCCTGCGCAGGCAGTAATTGGAGTAAGAGAGAAAGTCAATTAGAGTGAAAGAGACAGTAAATTCAAATTTGTATTGCTGCCTACTAGCTGTGAGTGCGCCTTAATAAGAAACTGGCGGTTAATTCAAATTTAAAAATTAAAAAACGAAAAAACAGATCTATGCAACTGCTAAAAATAAGATGGCAAAGAGTTGACTACACTGTAAAAACTGTCGGGTGAAATTTACACCGTCGCACGAGGGCAATAAAAGGACCCTCGTCGCACGATGTGAAATCACCCTGAGCCTCGAATGAAATTTACATCGACGCACGATGTATATTTTTTTTTGTACACTCGAGTACATCGATGCCTTCCCTCATTGAAGGCACTAATTTCACGAAGTTTGCCTACCTTTTATATTGTCTAAAAAATCAGCCAATGGAGAAGCAGGATTCCGTTGATATTATTGACACGAACTATAAAAAATATAGAATGTGGGCAAAACTCGTCAAATTAGTGCCTTCCTTGAGAGAAGGCAACGATGTACTCGAGTGTATATACATCGTGCGTCGATGTAAATTTCATTCGAGGCTCAGGGTGATTTCACATCGTGCGACGAGGGTCCTTTTATTGCCCTCGTGCGAAGGTGTAAATTTCACCCAACATTTTTACAGTGTACACGGAGAGAAAAATCAAGCGTTTGTAGTAAAGTCCAACCAAGAAGACTATATACAGGAGGAACAACTCGAGTATTTCCGATGGTCCCGATTTTAACGGACGATTGGGAGTACTACCCCGAGGCGCACTAGTCTTCTGCACATCTCAACACATGCATAACTGTGTATATTTTATATATATTCCATCTGACAGCTGTAACAGCTGCAAGTTTTTATTATCCCCTCATATTGAATAATAAGTGTAAATATTAAGTGAACTTAATATTTTTAATACAGAAATTTTTAAAAAAAGTGAGAAGTGTATTTAACACTAGTGTTTTTAATTATGATTCGTATTGATGAAGAGTGTTAATTTAAATAATAAAAGTTGTAATGGGATTTTCATAACCATTTTTTATCTTACAATAAAAAAAGGGTATGTTATATTATATAAATTATTATCTATCCTATTGTAATATATAATTTATTATATATTTATTATTGCTCCAATTATATTTATTTCTGTTATAGCATTGTATTTGAGGTTAACCATAACCTCCAAAGAGGAATTTTTCCAACTGAACTAAGTTTTCGGATTTAACGCTCTACGATATTTCAAAGATTTTAAAAGAGATTTATAAATTATAAAAACTAATGAAGATGAAATCAAGTAAAAATATTTCAGAAGATAAAAACTCTTTTGGGGCATTTCATTTAGTGTTTTCAAAATCAACTGTCACAGAACTTGCACATAACCAAGAAAATTGTAAACAAAACAAACACACATTATTTAAAGATACACAGATAGAGTTTATACAGTTATGCATGTGTTGCGATGTGCAGAAGACTAGTGCGCCTCCGGGTAGTACGCCCAGTCGTCCGTTAAAAACGGGACCACTGCTTACTATGAACAAGCAGGCGAGTTGGTTCTCCTGTATATAGTCTTCTTGAGTCCAACGTACAATAGGTTCGCGAAGGTCATTCGCGAACGAAACGCATGAGATAGACAAGGACACAAATATATCTCTGTCATTTGCTAACTCATGCTTTGCGTTCGCGAACCTATTGTGCTTAGGCCTTTAAAAAGCACGGCGCTGTTTACACTGTAAAAAAATCTATTGTAAAATAACACGAAACTTGTAATTTCACACATCAAAATTATAGGTTGTACGTAGTAAATTTATTTCGTTCCAAAAGTAGTTTTACTATTTTTAATAATTTTACATTATACGACTATGTAATTTAATAGTTTTGTGTAAATTTACTACGTCCGACGTAGGAAAATTTGATCACTATGTCCGACGTGGTATTTTTACATTGCGTGTATTTCTACACTTTGACGTAATATTACGTCGCACGATCTGTACAATTACATGGCGAATGTAATTTTCTTAAGGCGCTTGCACACTTCCAAATTTTTAGGCGACACTGTAAAAAAATCTGCTGTAAATTTACTATGTCCGACGTTGGAAAGTTTGGTCACTATGTCCGACGTGGTATTTTTACACGCCGACTGTAATCTACATAACCTGCAAATATTTTTTGAAATAATATTTTCAGTCGTAACTTTTTGTATTTATGAAATATAGCCCAAAACTTTTTGTTATATTATTATTTACTTATAAATTAGCATATACTTTCTATAAATGTACATTATATACACTTTTTTAGAGTTATTTATAAAAACTTGAAAATTTTTTGAAAATCTTAAAGGAATAAGAAAATTACATTCGCCATGTAATTGTACAGATCGTGCGACGTAATATTACGTCAAAGTGTAGAAATACACGCAATGTAAAAATACCACGTCGGACATAGTGATCAAATTTTCCTACGTCGGACGTAGTAAATTTACACAAAACTATTAAATTACATAGTCGTAAAGTAGTTTTACTATTTTTAATAATTTTACATTATACGACTATGTAATTTAATAGTTTTGTGTAAATTTACTACGTCCGACGTAGGAAAATTTGATCACTATGTCCGACGTGGTATTTTTACATTGCGTGTATTTCTACACTTTGACGTAATATTACGTCGCACGATCTGTACAATTACATGGCGAATGTAATTTTCTTATTCCTTTAAAATTTTCAAAAAATTTTCAAGTTTTTATAAATAACTCTAAAAAAGTGTATATAATGTACATTTATAGAAAGTATATGCTAATTTATAAGTAAATAATAATATTACAAAAAGTTTTGGGCTATATTTCATAAATACAAAAAGTTACGACTGAAAATATTATTTCAAAAAATATTTGCAGGTTATGTAGATTACAGTCGGCGTGTAAAAATACCACCCCACTGACACGAGCAGTTGTTAAAAAGTAAGCTAAACGTGACTGACGACCACTAGGGGCGCTAGTAGAAAATGAGGCCTAGGTACATAAATGTGATTGGTTGTTTGAAATTTCTATGATTATGGACAACCTAAATAACCAATCACATTCATGTACCTAGGCCTCATTTTTTACTAGCGCCCCTAGTGGTCCCAGTCACCTCTCACCACACTTTTTGTATTGGAATTACAGGTAAGTTCTCAAATGCGCCACTGGACAAATGCGCCACCGGTCAAATGCGCCACGGATCAATTGCGCCACTGGACAAAAGCCCCACATTTGTCATATTTGAGGAAAGTGAAAAGTTTGTTCGAGAGATGGAGCTAGGTGTTCTTGGTGTAGAAATTTGTCAAGTGAATTCAATTTATTGTCAATTTCGCTCCGTATAGTGAAAATAAATTTAAGTGAATGGTTAATTAAATGGAAATTAATTAATTGTTCTATATCAATTGCGGATAACATTTTTTTAAGTAAGTTGCTGTTTTTATTTTATATTAATAATAATAATAATAAATATTATTATTATTGTTTAAAGAAATGTGGAAATTTTTTTTAATAACTAATTTATGAAACATTTTATTTTTAAATCGTTTTTATTTATATTTTTTCTTTGGAATAATTTAATAATTGCTTTAATTTAATAATAAGATTTCTTGATATTTTCAAAAGATCTCTATTTTTATAGAATTATGTATTTTAATTAAATAACGAGATTAAGAATTCTTTGTTGTATTATAGTTAATTTTACTTACCTAATTATAAATTAATTGCCTTTATTTTAAATTTAGAAAGTACTTAAGTTTTCTTGAAGACTAATAAAGTATAATTTATTAACAATTGTAATATTGAATATAATTTTCTAATATGAATTTCATGTTTAATTAATTTTTTAAATTATATAACGTAAAAGTTTTTCTGAATTCACGTTTATAGTTTTAGAAATGATAAGACTTCTTACAAAGTTTCAAATATTACGGAAGTTTAGAAAAATTATTCCAATTTTTATTTTATAATTAATGGTATTTTTTTTATATTAAAAACAGTAATATTTTAAAAAGTAATATTTTTTTGGAAACGTTTAATATATAAAAAAAGCAGGCTTCGCACTGACGTACTAAAATCTATACTATTTACTCCTTTTTTTGTCAAATTTCTGACACTAAAAGCTACTTTTTTACAAATTACATTAGTTTCAATCCTCTAATAATTGAAAAAAAAATTATTCTTAATGAATTTTTTGTGATTCGAAAATGAAAATTTATAATTGTTATTGAAAATTCTTTTAAACAATTGTAAATTGAAGAATGTTCGCAATATTTTTAAAAGATTAAATTACCATGTATTGATGCGCAAAACTCCAAGGATTAATTTAAAAAAAGACAAATCAGTAATCTCCAATATTATAGAAATTGTGTAGAATTTTCTGCCAAAATGCAGCCGAAAATCGACTTTTAATCTTAAAAATCCGCTTGAAAGCGTGAAGTTTCTAACAAAACAAGAGAAGATCTTATTTATATATTCATTTGCAATTTTATTTTTCCTGGAACTCGAGTCGATTTTTGTCTGCATTTTGGCATTAAAATAATTTTTTTGCCAATAAATTTATATTCTTAATTTTATTACAATTTTTATACTCACTTTTTAATTTTTCTATAGTTATTAATATAATCTTTCTACAATTTTTCTATAATTTTTCTATAGAATAATGCAATTTGTAATTGTTTTTGTTTATTATTTTTGAGAGATAGGATAGATATTAATTTCGCAATAATAGAGGGGTAAATAATATTCAATACCATTGTCAAATAACACAGGCACACAAAAAAATAAAAAAGTCAAAACTCAGAGGTTACACCCCCCTATCCCCATGTTTTTGGGGAGTAGGGTGTCTATTCCTATGTTTTTTGGGTCGCTAACACCAAAAAAGACTACCAAAAACAAATTCTTCCCTCCCTTAACCCCCTACAACCCCCTTAACAACCCCAGGGTGAGGGGTCGAAATTCGAATTTTCGCGAAAAGTCGATTGCGGTGTCTAAACCTACGTTTTTTGGGTCGCTGAAACCAAAAAAGACTACCAAAATCAAATCCTTTCCACCCTCAACCCCCTACAACCCCCTTCAATAATTTTTGATAATTAATATTTAATTTTCAATTTCCCAAAAATCGGTCCGTTTTATTTTAAAAAAATTATTGCAGGGGATAGTAGTAGTCAGAAATTTGACAAAAAAAGGAGTAAATAGTATAGATTTTAGTACGTCAGTGCGAAGCCTGCTTTTTATATATTAAACGTTTCCAAAAAAATATTACTTTTTAAAATATTACTGTTTTTAATATAAAAAAATACCATTAATTATAAAATAAAAATTGGAATAATTTTTCTAAACTTCCGTAATATTTGAAACTTTGTAAGAAGTCTTATAATTTCTAAAAGTATGAACGTGAATTCAGAAAAACTTTTACGTTATATAATTTAAAAAATTAATTAAATATGAAATTCATATTAGAAAATTATATTCAATATTACAATTGTTAATAAATTATATTTTATTAGTCTTCAAGAAAACTTAAGTACTTTCTAAATTTAAAATAAAGGAAATTAATTTATAATTAGGTAAGTAAAATTAACTATAATACAACAAAGAATTCTTAATCTCGTTATTTAATTAAAATACATAATTCTATAAAAATAAAGATATTTTGAAAATATCAAGAAATCTTATTATTAAATTAAAGCAATTATTAAATTATTCCAAAGAAAAAATATAAATAAAAACGATTTAAAAATAAAATGTTTCATAAATTAGTTATTAAAAAAAATTTCCACATTTCTTTAAACAATAATAATAATATTTATTATTATTATTAATATAAAATAAAAACAGCAACTTACTTAAAAAATGTTATCCGCAATTGATATAGAACAATTAATTAATTTCCATTTAATTAACCATTCACTTAAATTTATTTTCACTATACGGAGCGAAATTGACAATAAATTGAATTCACTTGACAAATTTCTACACCAAGAACACCTAGCTCCATCTCTCGAACAAACTTTTCACTTTCCTCAAATATGACAAATGTGGGGCTTTTGTCCAGTGGCGCATTTGACTTGGCATCGCCAAGTCGTCGAATGATGATCAAATAGTCGAATGCCAAGTAATCGAATGGACAAAACGTCGAATGCTAAAAACATCGAGAATCTATCGGCATTTAGTCGAATGCTTAAAACATCGAATTGTCAATACGTCGAATGTCCAAAAACTCTGCGTTTGTCTGCGAATGACTGCGTTGCGTTGATTTTAGCATGTGTTGCTGTCATGTCCCAACTTCGATAATCGGGATTTTTGATTATTAAAAATGATGGGAATTTTATGCTGCTAGAACACTAAAGTGTACCCTGTAAATAGGAGGGAGATTCAACTTCTACTTCAAATGATAACAACAGAAATACTTTTAACTTGTTACTTTAATGAACATTAAGGGAAAAAGGTTACAAATTTGAGCCGAAGGATTACAACATGTAATCGGTCTGAGTGCTCAGAGATATCTGTCGAGATGAGATCCTGTGGTCCATGGGTCCCCATAGGACCCTGCGCGCGTTGAGTAGAGGGGATGACTACCCCTTCCTTTGAACTTCCCTGTGACCAATACAACCCTGACGGAGTGTTATTTTACAAGTTATTTACACATTCATACTATTTATTCATTATTTAAATTTAACATTAACAATATATGAAGTTAATTAATATTTGTTTCGTTAATTACCAAATATATAATAATCGGTTTCAGTTAAATTCATTCGGAGTATTATAATTACATTTTGCATCTGTATATTTAATTACCATAGAATTATGGTAACTTTGAATTACTAATAAGATATTACAATAAACGTAGATAATTTGTTATTATTTGTTATTATTATTATTATTATTATTATTTAATTAATTAATAAATTCTGTACATGTGATTATAACTTTTATCATTAATTAAGAGTATCTAATTATTTAACTAGTAATGAAATGATAAACAGTAATCAATTTATAATCGTTGTTTTATAAAATTGTTAGTGACATACATAGAATTAAAGATATGAAATTCATATCAAATTTGAATATTGTAATTAAATAGAAAACTCATTTCTTTTTCTTATATACGAACGATGAGTCATAGGTTTTTCCTGACGGTACAATACCCTTTTTTTTATACCGGGGACTCGAGTAAGGCCCGAGTCCCACGGTCCCTTTTTTTATTGCTACCACATGTTTGGGTTTTCCCAACGGTTTCGAAGTTCGGAAAGATGTATTTCTCAAAAGGCTATTTTTTTATAGAAATAAACTCTGTTTCTTTTCAATTCTAATTTTTTTGTGTCCTACGTGACATTTGCCTCATTTTCGCAGACTATTTCAACATCTGTAATTTTAACTATTATTCCTTTTCAAAAAGCAGCACATGTTTGGTTGCCATTCTATTTCGTTCTTTAGATTTTTTTGCATGTGATAAAATTCTTTACGGGAATAAGCAAATAAATGCATGTGTTTTTATTTTACATTAAAATTCAATTATTATATTGATATTAATTTTGAATCTTAGCGCTATTACCTAGTTTCTTCCGTACGAAGAGTTACGTAGTGTTTTTCCCTAGCGGAGAATTACGTGAATTTAGGCCTGCCGTCACAGTTGCTATAGCAACCGACGCAGACGCAGAGTTTTTAAAACCTATTGGAGAAAGGCCTTTAAGGCGGTTCCAGACAGGAAGGAAGAGTAAGGAGACCGAACTCTGTGTAGAAAGCGCTTTAAAAATCTCAGAGAAATATGCACGAAAAGTGCCAGGCTCACTGCGTTCTAGTCGACCTCCAATTAAGTTGATCATGCGCATAAGCTGTGTTGTGTCTCTGTTTCTCGTAAAAATTGTGCGAGTGAGATGTAAGATCTAATGTTTACATTTAGCCGGTCTTAGTGAGATACATACATAATTATACAATACATTTCGTTTTAATAATTATTTATTTATTTTATTTAAAAAATGTCGTGTTGTCTGCCAGGATGTAAAGAAAGAAAAAGAGTCTAAAAACATTAGTCTCTTCTATACCTTGGAGTGCGGAATCCAAGGTATCTGTAGGCAGATTTCCCAAAATTCCCTAAGCAAAAAAAAAAAAAAAAAAAACTAGAACACAGTGAGTCTGGCACTTTTTGTGCATATTTCTCAGACATTTGTAGAAGCAGAGTTTGGTCTCCTTACTCTTCCTTCCTGGTTCCAGAATAGGTGCAAAAGGCAAGGTGGAAGTACAAGTGCAAGTGCGAACCAATGCTAATGTATAGGAATCGCACTTGCAC